TGTTATTTACAAAAAGAGGCTAATAGTTACTAGTCCTAAAAATTACCTTTTATTAGTTTTAGTTTGCAGTCTTGATTGTGACAAACATAGCTAAAATTATGTCCAAAACATTAGCTTTGTCTAAAAGTCTAAAATTGTTCTGGTTTCACAGAAAACTACAGGGAGAGGATTTCTATTACTAACACAGCAGCTTGCATGTAAAAAGTTGTTAACATGAAAAGATTATTCTAAGAAGAATTAGTAGGTAAGAAAAAAGACATTTCATGCTCTTGCAGGTTTTACAACTTTGTAACTAAAATAAGTAGTTTTTAAAAAATACTTTTATAAAGCTTTACAGTTTTACAAATAGCTCAAAACATAGATTACAGGAATGTAGCCTGATGATTCAGCTCTAGTTGATATGAAATTTCACTAATATGTCTGATATCATGTAATCACACAAGATTTTCGGCATCCTTTCATATACTGTATCTTTTTTCTCTCACTTCTAAAGCCATATGTTTTCATCCCTCTTTCCCTTTCCCATATATTTCAAGTCTCTGTCAAATTTGCCTTAGAATATTTTAATTGATTGATCTGAGGAAAAAAAGAAGTGAAAACATTTATGGAAATTACCATTGTCACCTGCTATTAATTGTAGATGTAATTTTTTTTAAAAAAATAGAATATAATCTGTTGTCTCTTCTCTGTTCCTCATTCTATTCAGATGTTACCTGACAAATTTTTTGAGGGAAAGAACATAATATAAATGGAGGGATGATAGATTTCCAAATTTTTCAACTGCACCAAACACGTACAAACATAGAAATATGCACATATTCATTTTTCCCCTTTGCCTCAGAAAATTCATTAGTAAAGAATGGAATAGCTGCAGTATATTTTGATAGAAATCACCACAAGTGATTTTTCTGGAAGAATCCATTGACTTCGCAACACAGTCCCTTAATCCAATTTGAAAAATATCCCTTTTCTTCAGTTTTTCTTCACTTTTTAATCCCATGCTTTCTCCGGAAAGGAAAGAAACATGCTATGAGAATGGGCCATGGGCAACTGAAGCTGTCTGTGCTAAATGATATATATATGTGGAAAATATAATATTTCTTTCCTTCCTTCCTTGTGAATGGGAAAGTATGGGGTCTGTACTTTTTGGCAGGTATATGTTTCATTCCCATACTCAGAAATGCAGAAACTACAATGCAAATCTCACTAGATGTCAGCAACCCACAGCTCTGGAGCCGCATGCGACTCTTTGGGCCCTTGCTGTGGCTCCCTGCCAAACCGAATCCCACCACTGGCTGGTCCTGCCCCTCGCCCTTCCCTCCCAGTCACTCCTCGCCTGAGAAAGTAAGAGCAATGGTGGTGGATGGAGACTTGCTCAATATTCCAGAGTGGGAGCGAAGTGACCCTGTACTTGCCTCTTCTTCCAGCCCTTGTTGGTGCTGCGCGCACCTCGGTCGCTCGGGGAGATGCACAACTTTCCACCCCGAGACACTGGCCTGGCCCAGCTGCAGCTGACGCCAATGCTCTCACTGCCTCCATGGCCTGCTCGCTGCCCTTGCAGTGCCTTGCACAGCACACTTAAATTTAGTGTGCTTCACAATGGGGGAGATGGCATCCTCTGCTCCTCTGAGAGCCCATTACAACGTGGAGCACCAGCTGCAGCCAGGCCGGGCCAGTGTCTCAGGGTGGAGAGAAAGTTGCGTGTCTCCCTGACCGACTAAGGTGCACACAGCACCAACAAGGGCTGGAAGAAGAGGCAAGTACAGGGCCATTTCGTTCCCGCTCTAGAATATGGAGCGAGTCTCCATCTGCCACTGCCTTACCTTCTCAGGTGAGGAGTGACTGGGAGGGTGAGGGGCAGGGGCAGTCAGTGGTGGGTTCAGCAGGCAGGAAGCCACAGCAGTGCGACAAAAGAACTTCATTATCTGGGAACCTGAAATGACTCTTGATTTAAATCATATGGTAAAAAGCACCCAAAGAAGAAGAAAGAACAAATCAGCAAAACAAAAACATAAAAACCAACTCTCACCTGTTTTTGGAAATGGTTCAAGAAGTAACACACACACAAGAAAGAGAGAGAGAGAGAGAAAGAGAGAGAGAGATGAGAGAGAAAAAGAGAGAGAGATGAGGGAGGGAAAGAGACAGAGAGATGAGAGGGAGAGAGAGATGGGAGAGAGAGAGACAGAGATGAGAGGGAGAGATGAGAGACAGAAAGAGGGGGAAGAAAGAGAGAGATGGGAGAGAGAGATGAAAGGGAGATGAGAGGGAGAGAGAGATGGGGAGAGAGAGATGAGAGGGAGAGATGAGAGAGAGAAAGAGAAGGAAGAAAGAGATGAGAGAAAAAATAGACATGGAGAAAGAGAGATGAGAGAGATGAGAGGGAGGGAGGGATATGGGAGAGAGAAAGAGATGAGGGGAGTGAATGAGAGGGGGAGAAAGACAAGAGGAGAGAGAAAGAAAGGGAGATGAGAGAGATGAGAGAGAAAAAGAAAGAGAGATGAGAAAGAGTGAGAGAGTGATGAGACAATGAGAAAGAGAGAGAGAGATGAGAGGGAGAGATGAGAGAAAGAAAGAGGGGGGAGAAAGAGAGATGAGAGGGAGAGAGACAAGAGAGAGATGAGAGGGAGAGATGTGAGAGAGAGAGATGAGAGGGAAAGAGACAGAGAGATGAGAGTGAGAAAGATGGGAGAGATAAAGACAGAGATGAGAGGGAGAAATGAGAGAGAGAAATAGACAGGGAGAAAGAGAGAGATGAGAGAGAGATGAGAGGGAAAGGGAGATGGGACAGAGAAAGAGATGAGGGAGAGGGAGAGAGATGAGAGAGGGAGAAAGCGAAAGAGGAGAGAGAGAGAAAGGAAGATGAGAGAGAGAAAGAGAGAGATGAAAGAGTGAGAGAGTGATGAGACAGAAAGAGAGAGATGAGAGAGAGAAAGAAATGGAGAGGGAGAAAGAAAGACAGACAAGAGGGAGAGAGATGGGAGAGAGAGAGAGAGCGGGAGGGAGAGAGAGAGAGAGACGTTTCTCACAGAAAAGAAAACTGGGAGCCACAAAATCTGGGTAGGCGTGGCTGGAGGCAATCATTTGACTGGGTGGGAATGAGTGATGTCGAGTTGGCCACGCCCATCCAGGTTTTGTGGCTGCTGGTGTTTTCTGTGGGAAACGGGTTCAAATGGCTCTTTGAGTGTTTAAGGTTGCAAATCCCTGTAATAGGTTTTAATTCTCAGAGGTATCTAATGCATCAGGTCACTGAAAGGATGAAATGAGAAGGATGGTCTGCTGTTCTCATTAGAAGCAAAGCATGCTATAAAACAATAAATTCTTCTATCCAATCCCAACTTTCCATGCATTTCCTTTTCCTCCATTCTACTAATAATTACATATATTTTAGGCCTTTGGGTACTAATATCCTTACTCTTTTCTTACAGCACATATTTTCTTCCCATATTTTCTCCCAGTTGACCTGCCATTTTATTTATAAAAAAAAAATTGTCTTTAGAGTGCAACTGTTATTAAACTTTCACTTTGACTTCTTTTATTAATTTAATAATATAAAATATTTTGTATGTATGGTATGTATAAAAGATTAAAATGACAGGATAGATTATATTAATTATTCATACAATTCTTATTATTATCATTATCATTATTATTCTTTTTTAATCTGGTGAAGGGAACATCTGAAGAGAAATTTGAACTATTTATGCACAAGTCAACTATTTTTAATTTTCTGATATGATTTGAAAATAGTGTTAATAAATAATTCCTAACTGAGATTTTTATACCAGTGACAGATGAATGAAATACATTACAAATTCATTACTTAGTATCCTTAGTTTTGATTAATCATAAAGTTATATATTTGACCAAGTTTTCCTCATGCATTGGGATGAATATCATATTTTGTATTACCCATCTAATAGAGAAATTTTAAAAAAACACCTAGGCTACTATGAGGTATATTAGACATCTATGGATTATACTGCATATGATTCAATAATTGTTTCAAAAGATATCATGGCTGTGTTTATCCAGAAAACCTTGTTTACTTAAAGCACTGTATGGCTCTTCTTTGTGATTTTGCAAGCAGAGATTGTTTAGCAGAGAACAAGGATACATTTGCTTGACCTGAGTTTCATTGCAAATTTGGCAACTTTGCCTATTCCAATTTATGCATGGATCAGAAACAGCTCATGTGACAAAATCTGTACTGTATTTTCTGGGAATTGCATAATAGTTCATCAATATATACAAAAAAAATTATATGAAGAAATAGGAATATAAAAATGTATTTTTAAAAGGAAATGGTTAGGGGAAAAAAGACATACATTTGGGGAATAGTGCACACAAAAATATGCGGAATATGCCCATTCTTGTTCAACATATTGCCTTATTCTGCATCAACAGTTTCATCTCACTTACTCTATTCTTCCTTCAATTTAGCAGGTAATATTTCACTGCAAACAATTATTTGTGTCCATAGACCATGAAGAGATGGCAGAAATATTTCTGCACTCCTTGATCATCAGGGTAAGCATCTATCTTTCAGCACAATTAGTTGCCTAATTGAGCAGTTGTATTTCATAACATACATTTTGTCATTCTATTAGTAATTTTTGCAGTAGAAATCATTGGCATGCAGCACTTTGGAAAGTGGACTGGAAATTATATCGGTAAAAGTATAAGATTAAGATTTTTAGGTTAGTTAGTGGTCTTGGTTTACTTCATAAAGGTTCCATTTTAAAATAAAATTTCACAAAAATGTAATTATGGTTGCTTAATTATAAAGTAAATTGTCTAAGTCAGGGCTGTCAAACTCGTGGCCCAGATGCGTCACACGGTGGCCACACCCAGCCTGCTTTAGCGAAGGGGAAAAAAGTCCCGATACTTTGCGAGACGCCACTGTGATGCCGTGAGTTTGACACTCCTAGTCCAAGTGGGTTATAAAAGGAAAAATAACACAATTTGGTATCTGTAGAATATTTCCAAAATAAATAAGCTCACAATTTGTTAAGGGTGACAGGGTCTCTCCATCTCTGACACCAGATGGTCCTGTAATAAAACACAATCCATTACTAGAAGACAGTTTTTCATGGGATGCATTCAGTTCACAGGGTTCCTGTTAGAACTATGGAAATTCTTCCCCAAAGTGGCTTGGAACATGCAGTCAAAGCACATATGCATGCAGAAAGCTGGATTAGTTTCCAAAGCAACCTTTAGTACAGGTAGTTCTCAACTTACCATTTCAACCATTTATTTAGTGGCCATTCAAAATTTCAATGGCACTGAAAAAAGTAACCTATGGCTAGTCCTAAAAGTTACTGCATGACACATGATCAAAATTCAGGTGCTTGGCAACTTGCAGGTATTATGACAGTTGCAACATCCCAGATCATGCAATCACAATTTGCAACCATCTCAGTTGATTTTTGACAAGCAAAGTCAATAGAGGAAGTTAGATTCACTTAGTGACTGTTGATTCACTTAACAACACCAGTGATTTGCTTAACAAACATGGCAAAACAGATTGTGAAATCAGGCACAATTAACACCACAACATTCTTGCTTAGCAATGGAAATTCTAGTCCCAATTGTGATCATAAGTCAAGGACTACCTGAAAAACAGAATGAAACAAAACAGCCACTTCTTTAGAAGACATTGCACAACCATAATTCTTTCAAAAAAATGACAGACCTAGTAGCAGCTATTGCTTAATCCTAGCTTTTCTTCCAAAAAATTATCTAGCTCAGCAAATATTATTTTCAGCTTGGAAATTTTCTGTCAGATCTCTTTTTAGGTTCCCTGTGCTCTAGATATTAGAACTTCTACATTTCCACTGCTAACCAGAGAGAGATGCTAAGAGTGCCTCTGAATGTAGACAGAATGTCTTTTGCTTTCCACCAGGTGAGTGCAGAAATCTTACCTCTTCCTATTGTCTCTTTCTTTTTCTCTCTCATACACATGGAGGCAAAGATAAGTTTTTAAAAAAGGCTATAGGATACCCGCACACATATTTTAGCACCTCTTTCAAAAAATGATATACTATATAATGCTTATCAAAGGAACTCTACCAAGCACAAAGGCACTCGAGCGTTCTAAATGCTCAGGTCTTCCATATGACTGAACATTGGCAAGTGTAGTTTTTACACTGCCTTTCTTATTATCAGTTCTGCTGCCCTTCTGAAGCCCAGATTGCTTGATTGTTCACTAAATCTCTCTTTCCTCATTGGTTCTTCTTGAGTAAACCCAACCTTCAGCAAATAAGGGGCTCCTGTACCCTTAAGGCAGTCTACTTTACAATTCTACATCAGGTTATAGAAGAATGCTTGGAAAGAAAAGTCATTATGCTGATTATACAGAGGGACATCCTTACTGTGCTCCACATGGTTAACACCAGGCCAAAGAGTAATTAAAGATGTTGAAAACCAATGTTCTCTAATCCAGTCCTAAATACTGGGTGCTAAGAAGACTGCATTTGGATAGAACAATAAAGCAACTTTTTCTATCTTCCTGTCCTCCAGATACAATGAACTATATACAATAAATTTATTCTTAATCTAGATTGCCTGGAAATTTTAGTCTAATATGCTGTCTGAATCTCACAAATAGAATTACTTATCTATCTGCAAATAGTAATGGACACAATAGACTTATCTCTTGGGCTCTTATAAATTCAGTCCAAGTATCACAGTTATCTAGAAAGATTTACCAACAGATGCTATACATAGAAACGCCCAAGAGAATCCCAACCTTGGGTCTCCAGCACATGTCTTAGGCAGGAATCCAAAAGACCTTCACAGATTTTATATAATACTATACAAACAACCTTCCTGAGTCCCAGATGCTCACTAGCCATTGACCCTATGTCACTTCATCAAGTGACTCTTAAGTAGCCCCACCAAGTCTGCTCCTTAATGTAGTCAAGCCTCCTATAATTCTCTGTCATGTTTTCTTCCTCTTTAGCTTCAGGTGTCTTTGAGTTGCTGAAGGGGAAAGAGAGAGAGGTCTGGTCCAATATTTTCTACATCCAGGTCCAGGAGAAGGATTAGATTCTGACTTGATACAATAAAGTCTTTTTTATTGATTTTGGGGAAGGTTTCTCCTGCTCCTCTTCTTCAGTTATGAAGGATCTGTAGAGTAAGCATCAAGTACATGCTGTATCCACTGGTTGCCCATCTTTGATCAAAGCAATATTCTTTCCCCCATCCCAGGCTGCAGAAAACTGGATTAAAAAGGTGTAAGCCAGAAAGGAAGGCAAATATCACTGTGCACAAATTTTAGATAAAGATCTTGTAATGCATCATTTCATACAAAATGGCATTTGCTTTAGATATCTGGTAGCGATAAGGGAATTCAGATAATATAATGGCAATAATTTCTTCAACATACTTGAATCACCAAAAAAGTTCCTATTGACTCATTTGCTGATCTAACTGCAAATCTGGGCATACTGCTTCATAGTTATCAAAAGGCCTGTATTGCTTGACTTTTTAAAAATGGTTTTTTAAAAAATAGTTAGTTATTTAGTTAGTTATATTTCACACTTCTTCCTCATGGCCAGCATATCTCTGGGGGAAAGAAGAAAAGGGAAAGAGAGAGGGAAATTAAAGGGGAAAGGGAAGGGAAGGGAAGGGAAGGGAAGGGAAGGGAAGGGAAGGAAAGGAAAGGAAAGGAAAGGAAAGGAAAGAAGGAAAGGAAAGGAAAGGAAAGGAAAGGAAAGGAAAGGAAAGGAAAGGAACTTAGAAAGCCACAGGCAGAGATCTGTGGAATAAAGTAACAAAAATAAGGTAACAAAAGGTGCAATCTGAGGGTCCAGTGGTGGAAAGGAGATTTCTGAGGCATACTTGTGGTGTAATAAGGGCAAGGGAAGAAAAGCTTGAGGAAGGGGAAGGCCAGAACATACATTCCTGATAAAGCTTAAAACATCTCTTCTTGATGTAAAACTATTTAAGAATGTTCAGCGTTCAATTGTTTAAGTGAATTCTTTTATATTTAGTGGATGTGACATTGCTTTTCTTTCTTTTCTCTCTAGACTATTCATCTCTGGCTTGCAAGCCGATTGCTATTTTTTGTTATTTCACTGGCTTTGAAAGAGATTATAGTAATGCCGTTTTATAAAACTTTGCCTTGTGATGTGAATAATATAAAGGATATTTCCAAAATGTATATGCAAGTTGACTGCAGCGACCGTAAACTCATAGAGTTTCCAAAAGACATTCCTACCAATGTTACCAACCTGACACTTGCTGTTAATCACATTCCACAGATTTCCAAAAGCGATTTTAAGAACCTGAAAAACCTTCTAGAAATTGATTTCAAATGTAATTGTGTGCCAGTCAGGCTGGGACCTAAAGATCACGTTTGCACCCAGGGTCTGAAAATCCAAGCTCATGCTTTCTCCAAACTCTCCAGCTTAAAATCACTCTATTTAGATGGCAACCAGCTCTCAGCAATCCCCCAGCATCTCCCACCTAACCTACGTCTTCTGAGTCTTGAAGCTAATTCCATTTTTTCTATCAAGAAAGGAGATTTGTCAGGACTTAAAAACTTAGAAGTACTCTATCTAGGGCAGAACTGTTATTATCGCAACCCCTGCAATATATCTTTTGAAATTAATGAAGCAGCGTTTCAACCTCTCACAAGTTTGAAAGTGTTGAATTTGAAAGCCAACAACTTATCAAAGGTCCCACAAAACTTATCATCAAACTTAAGAGAACTCTACCTTTATAATAACGCAATTCGAAATATCACTGAGTATGATCTGTTCTCTCTGAATAAGTTGGAAGTACTTGATTTAAGTGGAAACTGTCCTCGTTGTCATAATGTACGATATCATTGTATTGAATGCCCTGGAAGCATTTTAATCAATCCCAGAGCCTTTGACTCATTAAAGCATTTAAAGGTGCTGAGGCTGCACAGTACCTCCCTTCAACAAGTGGACTCCAATTGGTTTAAAAATACTAGGAACCTTCAAGTGCTTGATCTTTCACAAAATTATTTGGCTCAAGAAATTCAGCAAGCCCATTTTCTACAGTTTCTTCCTAATCTTGTGGAACTTGACTTATCTTTCAATTATAAACTGGGATCATACCCATCAAAATTTATTCTTCCCAAAACATTTTCCAACCTGTCCAAACTGCAGTCCTTAAGAATAAGAGGATTTGTTTTCAAGGAACTAAATCAACACACAATAAACAATTTAATTCCTCTTAAAAAACTTAACGTCCTGGATTTTGGAACCAATTTTATCAGGAACGTTAACATTTCTATGTTTAAAGAATTCCAGAATCTTAGAACAATAATTCTTTCTTTTAATAAAATATCTCTTTTTTCATATGAGCCAAATAGCAGACTTTGCTCTGTTCTCAACTCAGCAGACGATCAATTTAATGGCAATGTATTGAAAGATATGCAGTATTTCAGATATGATACATATGGTCAAAGTTGCAGATCTAAAGATACAGAGGATAGTAATACTTTGCCTTTTGTCAATGAGACTTCATGCAGCAACTATGGAAAATCACTTGATTTAAGCAGAAACAACATTTTTTTTATCAAATCTTCTGATTTCCAGCAACTTTCAGACCTTAAATTCCTTAACATCTCCAATAATGCTATGAGCCAAGCTTTGAACGGAACTGAATTTGCTCATCTATCCAGTTTGAAATGTTTGGATTTATCTAACAATCGGATTGATTTGCTACATCAAAATGCTTTTCAACAGCTGAAAGAACTGGAAGTTCTAAATCTTAGTGATAATAGCTATTATTTTAAGGCAGAAGGTGTCACATTTATGTTGAACTTTACCAAATACCTGGTTAATCTGAAAATACTGATTATGAATGGCAATGAGATTTCTGAATCCACTGATAAAGGAATGACAAGTGATTCCATCAAAATATTAGAATTTAGACGTAATCGCTTAGATATTTTATGGAAGGATGGAACTAATGAATACTTGGCATTCTTTAAGAATTTGATCACCCTGGAAAGTCTTGACATTTCTGAGAATTTTCTGACTTTGTTACCTCATGATGTATTCTACAATCTGCCTCCAAAACTCAAAGTGTTAAAGCTGGCCAGGAATTTATTGAAGACTTTTAACTGGGGGTGTCTTCCAGCACTAAAGAATTTGGAAATCTTGGATCTTAGCAACAATCAGCTGACCACGGTCCCACATGAACTGTCCAACTGTACTGAGACACTTCAGACATTCATACTGCAAAACAACAAGATTAGAAAGCTGACAGATAATTTTCTCAAAGATGCTTTCTTCCTGCGGCATTTAGATCTTAGTTTTAACAAGATCAAAACAATCAGGAACTCTAGCTTCCCCAAAAATGTTATTAACGGACTAAGAACATTACACTTAAATGGTAATTCTTTCAAGTGTAATTGTGATATTGTGTGGCTTGTCCACTGGATCAATGAGACAAATGTAAAAATCCCTTTCCTAGCAACAGATGTGACTTGCGCAGGGCCACGAGTATGGAAAGATAAAAGTTTGATTTTATTAGATTTGAATACTTGTGAATTGGACAACTCTCAGATTTATTATTTATCATCAGCTTTAGTCATCATCATTCTCATGATACTTCCAGTTATAATCCACCTATATTTTTGGGATGTCTGGTATATTTATCATTTCTGCATTGCCAAATTAAAGGGATATAAACGTCTCTTTTCATCTGAAGTTAAATATGATGCTTTTGTGGTTTACGATAATAAAGATGCAGCTGTAACAGAATGGGTCCTGAAAGAACTAATTGAGAAACTGGAAGATCAAAAAGAAAAAAAATTCAATATATGTTTAGAAGAAAGAGACTGGCTACCAGGTCACCCACTCATGGAAAACCTTAATGACAGCATACAAATGAGTAGAAAAACAATATTTGTGCTGACAAACAGCTACATTGCAAGTGGCAACTTCAGAACAGCTTTCTATATGGCACATCAGCGTCTTGTGGATGAAAAAGTAGATGTAATTATCCTGATAATTCTTGAGAAGCTTCTGCAAATGTCAAAGTGTCTCCGTCTCCGAAAGACCTTGTGTAGTAGATCTTGTCTTGAATGGCCAACCAATCCTCATTCTCAGGTTTATTTCTGGCATTGTCTTAGAAACTCCCTTGCAGCAAATAATGAGTTCAGATATAACAAACTTTTCAAAGAAATGTTATAATGCTCAGTTGTATTCTCTGAAAATGTTTTGGGAATCATAGCAGATGTAAGGATGAGGCTGAATTTCAATCTCTATATTGAGGAGGTTTTAAAGCATTGGTCGAACCAGGCAAACTGTTGGTTATCTGAGGAAAAGTGCCCAGGAAGTTTAGTTCCATAACTCAGTTTTCCATTTAATAACTGTTGAGTTATGAATTCCCCCCAATCTAAGCAAGAAAAGTGAAACAGAAGAGACAGATTCCAGTTACAAATTTTCATAGCAAGAATTTATGAATTTTCCTATGTAAGCATGTTTTCTTTCCAATATTCGGTACAATTTGAAAGAAAAAATAAAAATCAATATACTCTTTAGCATGAACTACAATTACTGTATTTGAAAATCAGATATTTTGAATCGGCTCGCTATTTGTTTATATATGAGGGGAAAATTTTAAAATTACATAACAATACAATAAAAATATGGGAATTGTAACATAATGAGGATGTACATATCAGTTGGAAATCATTCAGAAATAGAAAGAAGGGGGGGAATGAAAGAAAATTCGTGATCTAAATGCTTTTTGTATAATGCTTTTTCTTTAAAAAAATCTTTCATTACAGTATCAAATTCCAAAAAGGAAGGAATTTAAACACTTACAAAATATTATCAGTGACTAATGAGTTTATGCAGTAATGTGAAAGCATCTATGTGTGAAGCCAGTTTGGTATAATGATTAAGTCATCAACTAGAAACCAAGAAACCTTTAATTCTAGTCCTGCCTTGGGCACAAAGCCAAATGGGTGATCTTGGCCAGTCACTTCATTGTTTTTTATTTTGTATTCTCTTTTATTCTTACTTGTTTTAATGTATTTATGCATAAATGTATGTATAAAGAGCACTGTAGTGACAAGTTTACAAAACAATGTATGAAATAGTATGATTGAAGTGGAAACAAGGCAGGGGTTGAATGAATAAAAAGTTACTATAAGGTTAGTGAACAGTGTTAGTGTAGACCAGATTTAGTGAGACTTTTTTTATTTTCACTTTCCTCTCCTTTGCTTATCATCTATTATATTTTTCTATGCTTTACTTACCAGTGCTTATACAAAAGAAAGCAATGCAGTTTGATTGATCCATCAGCATTCTCATTCATACTTCTCATCAGTGTAATTCCACATGGCACTTTAAAAACAATAAAAATAATTTAAAAAATTGAAGCAGCCAACTTCACTATTCCAAAATAAGAGGGTGACACCAGCTTAATGGCTACAAGCTTACAGATAGGAATTTGAAGAAAACTGATTAATTAGGGATTTTTAAATGCTGAAGTTTATCTCTCAAAGTTTTAAAATGTGCAGGTATCACATTTTTAAATAAGAAATGGTCATTCATATACCAGTCTATAGGTGGCAGCAAATGATAGTTCCTGAAACTGGATCTCTCATATAAATTACAATTAAGCATTATGGATATATTTGGTCTTTCATTTTCTAAATTTAGTGTCTATGTGCTTTTAATCAAGGCCAGAATATCAAAATCTATCTGGAAATGAGAAGAAATTGGCATGCCAAAATCTGAGATGATAAAATATTTTACATTAGCAGATTAACTGCTAATAGCTTGGGTTATGCAGTTATTTATTTAGAAAAAATACATGGCCATCTGTCCTAAGTAACTAACTCTGAGAAGTTATCAACAGTACAAGAAGAAATAATATAATGAAAATCCCTGTATAAACAAAAAATAATAATAAAAAAACACATGGGTTAGGGTTAACTAACTCACAGAACACACATTAGGCTCTGCTAGCATCTTAGCCCTAACACCGGGGGGGGGGGGAGGAAACCAAATTTTTGTGGCCTAACTGAAGACCACAATTTCAGAAAGGAGGCTATGCCATAGGGCAAGCTCTACAACACTTAAGGCACAATTCCTGGATCCCATTAGAGCAGGAGTGTCAAACTAGATTTCATTGAGGGCCACATCAAAGTTGTGGTTGACCTTGGGGGGAGGCAAGTGGGTGTGGCCAGGGTGAGCATGGCCAGCTTCCCTCCCTCCCTCTCATTCCCATCTGGCTCCCTCCCTCCTTCCCCCCCTCCCCTTCTTATTCCCATCTCCTTCCTTCTTCCCCCTCCCTTCCCTTTCCTGGGAGACAAGGCAACTTCCCCTCCCCCCCTCCACTTTTGAATGTAGCCCTTATTAAGAGCCAAGGATGCCTGCTCAGATACCTGCTGCTTGTTTTTCCCAAAAGAAAAAGAGAAATCCCTGGCCCAGGGTTGGCATCATAACTTTTTAAGGATTTCAAAAGCTGTTCTTTTAATGTTGGGGTCTCACTGTTTGGGACAACCCCACCCTCCTGGATACACCTCCTTTGTTTCCAAGAAAAAAAGAAATCGGGGGGAGAAGAGAGGGAGAAAAAAAGCCACACGCACACAGACACACAGATGAGACGAATCCAAAGTTGAAGAAGGGATCCTTACAAGCTTCCGCCACTCCCACCACCTTTTCTTCTAAAGGAAAAAGCCCCCAGCCCAGAAACAACACTCCCAGAGCTGGAGAGCTGCACTGAAGCAAGGAAAAAGAGGAAGAAAAACCTTGCGACTTTAAAAACCCAGGGAGAACCCCCCCTGCACCCCCCCAGCCTCCTCCTCTCCCACATGGCTGCTTGTGAATTAAAGGAGGCAAGATTTGGAACTAAAGGAGGCAAGCAATCGAGCAGAGAAGCCAGAGCGGGAGAGATCAACTGCCAGCCGGAGCGATGTCAGCCTCGGGGATTTAAGCTTTCAGCTCTCCTTTTTCTTCCTTCTTTCCTTTCCCATGAGCTGCATGAACTGCGCTTGATTTGCAGGGTCTGAGGTTTACTTTCCCTTTCTACCTACTTCCCAGCCAAGGAATGCTGCTTCTTTTGCTGCCTCTCCACAAAAAAAAAAAACTCGCTTTCTTTCTCCTTCCTTCCATGCCTCTCTCCTCATTCCCATCTTGTTCTGGAGAGTTTGGCAGCATTGCCGCTTACTGCAGCTGTGGCTTTCCCACATGGGGAGGAGCAGGGGCAGTTCCAGTGAAAGGAAAGCCACACAGGCTGCAAGGCCAGGCCAGTGAGCAGGCCATGGAGGCACTGGTGGTGGGTGCGGTGCTGTTCTATAACTGGATGGCAGCCATTAGGCCTGGAACGCGGTTAGCCTTAGATCCACAGGGCAGTCCTGGAGCCAGATATGAGCGACCTCTGCTCCCTCAGCCCTGCCCCCACAGGAGGCGGCGAGCACCCAGGGGGCAGGGGTGAGGCAGTAGGACAGTTCTTTGTGCCCCGTGGATCTAAGGCTGACTATGTTCCAGGCCGGATGGCCGCCATCAAGTTATAGATTAGCACCTGGCCAGCCTGGGCCAGCCTGGGCCAGGGCTGAGGTGCCAGGGGCCTGTCTTTTTCATATTTCAAGGGCAGCCCTCTGGGCCAGATCTAACCACATCATGGGCCGGATCCAGCCCACAGAGTTTGGCACCCCTGCACTAGAGGATGCTGTTTCAAACAGGGGTTCAGAGCATGCTAAGAGCAGAAGAGACAGAAATTGCTGGAAACAGATGATCACACAGGTAACCTGGTCCTGGGACATGCAGGGTTTTATGTGTGGCCTCTAGAAATGCATGACCATGTGGATTCTGTATTTGCAGCAAAAACAGAAGAGGAGATTTTGGGGATTCAGTTTTGCAAATGCTGTTTTTCACAGGGCAAACTTATCTGTTACCATGGGAAAAAGCAGTTGACTATTCTCATGCCTCTTTTGCAGCATAAAAAATATGAACAGACATGAAGACTAGTAGACAAAACCTATTTTGTGCTTATTATTTAGCATATGATGAGAACATGACAGAACAGAAGTAAATATATATAAACAGTCCATGTAATTATACATAAAACGTCTATAGGAATTTGGCAGTGACCTTATAACTGGATGTCCAATTCAGCTACCCAGGCAATTGCCTCTGGCATTGCTTCTTGCAGTTCCTCTAGGGAACCAGAAAACACACATCATGAGCAATCTTGTACAATATGTTTAATAGTTTGAATATGTTGGAATACATGTTAGAAAGTATTTTGTATTGCAACAACTACAGAATTATTTAGCCAGTAGATGGCAGTGTTTAGTTTGCATCTATGGTTATAATCTATGGTTCCTTTATGTTCTGAGGAGAGTTTCCTGTGACAGTTGAAACAGTTAAGCAGCAAGCCCCATTGTGACTGTACACTATACACTCTATTTTGTCTGTATGGCTATGTATTTATCCTCTGCTACCATTTCTATATAATAAAACAGAATTTCTAACAGGTTATGGGCCTGGATACAGACATCCTGGCATAATAAATTAATTGAGAATGACTATGCAAGTGGAATAAAAGAAGAAACCAGGCCACAAGAATTTCATAAAGGAAATATACCAGAAGCAATAAAGGCATCCCAGCCAAAAAGCTGTCCTATATTGCTCGCAAAGCATTAAAACCCAGAGATGGGAAGGAGAATCCAAAAGAGACTGCAGCAGCCACCCTGGTCCCCTGGCCCAATAGGAGCCAGAGCTCCAGCAGCTCCAGTGCCAGCTCTTTGGAGAGCCAAGGCAGCAAGAAGATTGGAAAAAGAAGGACAAGAAGAATCATAAGAAATAGGAAACAGAACTAAAATCAGAAATGGGATTATTATAAGGAGTACTTGTTGAGTGGGGGTGTTGGAATACAATTAGAATGTATTTTGTATTGCAACTGCAGAATTATTCAGCCAGTAGATGGCAGTGCTTAGTTTGCATCTATGGTTATAATCTATAGTTCCTTTATGCTTATGTTTATGTTTATCCTCTGCTACTATTTCTATATAATAAAATAGAATTTCCAACAGAATATCAGCACCACAACCAAATCCATCCCTACTGATAAAGGTGAGGGCCACAGAGGATGGACTTTGTAACACTTGAAACATAGGTAAAAGGTAAAGGTTCCCCTCGCACATATGTGCTAGTCATTCCCGACTCTAGGGGGCAGTGCTCATCTCCGTTTAAAAGCCAAAGAGCGGGCGCTGTCTGAAGACATCTCCATGGTCATGTGGCCAGCATGACTCAACACCAAAGGCACATGGAACGCTGTTACCTTCCCACCAAATGTGGTCCCTATTTTTCTACTTGCATTTTTTACATGCTTTCGAACTGCTAGGTTGGCAGAACCTGGGACAAGTAACAGGAGCTCACCCCATTACGCAGCATTAGGGATTCGAACCGCTGAACTGCTGACCTTTCGATTGACAACTCAGCATCTTAGCCACTGAGCCATCACATCCCTATACTTGAAACATAGTTTTGATAATACTGTTGCACTGGCTAATTAACATGGGTTTTCTTGTATTTTAAATTTGCTTTTTCAATTGTACTACTAATAATTTCCCATAAACCATAACCTTCAAGAAAAAGTTTCTCTTTCAGAAACCAGGACTGGCAAGAGAGCATTCAATACATTGTAGATAAGTGTTTCATTTTCAACTCTTCTCAAGCCTCCATAAACAAAGAAAATAAAAGCGCTGAGAAAGTATCTTACTCAAACCCATTTGGATGCTTTTCGTTTGCAAATGTTTCTTTTACTTTTATTCAGAATACAATGCTGTTCTCTATGGCTATGCTGTAATTCTTGTGATGTAACTGAACAGATGACTATTTCTCAACCAATCAATTTTTGCTTTGAAGTTCTTTGTTGCTAACCGTAAAAGTAAATGTTTCTCGGGGTCCCCCTTTTCATCAGGGAGACCACACTTTATCAAATTGCTAATAATTGTTTTTAAATGACTTTCTGACTTGGTTGCTTATTGGAAAAGGTAAACTGAAGCAGAACCTAGGCCCAGATTTGGCCATCACAGGACAGAAACATTTCTTCCAGTATCACACCTAACTGTTCAATTTTGACTAGACAAAGTGAGGCAGGTCAAAACCAATAGTTTGGTAGAGATCTCACTAATGTTCAGGCCAAAAGAAGGTATCTGAGATCATTCCTCTTTCCAGGCATTCTTGGGGTTAAACTGGGTAATTTAATAAATAGTTGTTTTCCATGCTGCCAATGGGATTTCAATCTTGTGATGGGCTGTGAATTGTCCTGGTGAATAGGGAAGGCCTTCTTGTTCAGTATCCTTGACCGTAACCAAATGAGAGATTGTGATCTTCTAATATGAAGAGGTATGATATTGCTAAGTACTGGTAATTGATGCACAGGAGTGGGATGCAATGTGCCAGAGATGATACACATTAACTGTAGAGTTGGACATCAAACATTTTGGTGTGGGCACTCTTAAGCCACACGCTGGTACAATATTCAACTGTGGAATAAACCAAAGTCAAGCCTGTTGTATGTAGGCTATTAGCATCAGCATCACAGAATGTTCCAGCCAGTCTGTTCAATAAATTGTTGCGGCTTTTCAATTTTGCAACATTTTTTTCCAGATGCTACTGGAAGGTTAGTGATCTGTTCAGTGTTATCCCCCAGGTACTTTGGAGAGTTATTATATTGTAAAGTACAGTTCCAGAACTTCAGTGAAAGCTGGTAATTTGCATACCTATTGCTGAGGTGATTTATTTATTTAGCATATGGCATACCATGTATGGACTAGCAATATAGATTAACATTTTATTTAGATTAATAAAACATAATAAAATATAAATGTTAAAAGAATCTATGTTCAAATACCAATGTCTAGGCCATCTAACCATTGAAGCACAGCATCATTTATATTTAAAAAAACCAGATACTGGACCGGTATATGCCCTTAGTTTATAGGCAGTCATGATGTGATCTACAGTTTGATGTAGGACCCCACAGTCATGCCCTACTTATACAGAGAGTCCTGGCAGATGCTGTGTAAGGTGCGAATCCTATTCAGGATTGTCCACTGCTGACATGGTAGTTCAAAGCCACGCACCTGGCTGAAAAAAATCAGAATCAGAATAGAGCTGGAAGGGACTTCAGAAGTCTTCTAGCCCAGCCCCCTGCTCAAGCAAATTTTGGGCTTAGTTGAGGATTACCTGTATATTATTTTACTCTATTAGACCAATGGCCTTCTTGTTCAATGTCATGTGTAATGGCTCGCCAAGCTGAAGAAGATTTTTCCTATCTTACATGGAGAACTCAGAACATTTTGTAAGCATAAGTGATATTCGTTTTTCAGAGGTGGTTTACTAACAGCATACTTTGTCCAAATATTCATAGAGCAAATAAAATGGGCTTTATATTACTCATCCATCTTGTCTAAGTGTGGGAATATGTATCCCTTCCAATATCTCTAAACCAAAGTCATTAGAAAGGTGGCCTACAATCAGCTCAGCAGAGACTAAAATTCAGGAAAAGCTTCCTTAGGTTGATGGAAGACTTTGAAGAATTTGAAAGCAGAGTGGATCTATGGAAAGCTAAGAAGAATCAACACTGAATAGAACCAATGGAGGACCTGGGTCTGACGAAAGCTGGGAAGTATGGAAATCATCGAATACACTGCACATGGGTACAAGAAGATTCAGAGACACTCTGAACAAATGGGGCTATCCGTTGGCTTCTGCTCATTGCGATTGTGGTGACATGTAGACAACACATAAATATACCTGCCCTTTGTGCTCCAATCAATGTACACTTGAAGTCCTCACGGCAGTATGAAAGAACATAACTAATATTGCTAATTTTTTAATTAGTACATAGTTTAATCTTGTATTTTATATTTTAAATTTTATGTCACATGGTATGCTTATTTTAATTGTGATGCTTCTGATATGAATAAACAATTAAAAAGGTGGGATCAACCACTAGATAATTTTCTGATTTTCTGGTTAGGCCTCTGACATAGTGATAAAAAATAATACTTGACTGAATAAACCCAGGTCAGTCTTCCAAAGAGGGTGGTTTTCATTTATTATTCTAAAACTGAGTCTTCAAAAAAAAAAAAAAAAAGAGAATCTA